CTGGGTTGTAGGTATTGTTTAAATCTGGTTTTGTCATGAAATACCTTGTTTTCTCTTTCTATGGTCATCTAAAGTTCTGCTGTGTCTAGTAGAAGAGATCTCCTGGGTAAACTGGGGGCAGTGTGGGTGGGTTGGTAAGATGGGAACAGTGGGGTCTGGTTGGCTGGGTTGGGGGTGGAAGGAAGGGCACAGTAATTAGAGATATATCTCGATATAGGACATTTTGGGGTTAGGGAGGGACCTGGTGCTAGGGAATCTCCCAGGAATCCACAACGATTACCCCAGCTAAGATTCCTAGCAATAGTGGATATGTAGCCTGAAGAGAATAAGACATCTCTTATAATCAGATAGGTGAGTACCCTAGTTGTCATCAGAGAGCCTTCATCCAATAACTGATGAAAACAGATGCAGAGATCCACAGCCAAGTGCTGGGTTGAGCTCTGGGAGTCCTGCTGAAGACATTGAGGAGGAACCCCTCAACTGAGAGCTAAGGAATCTGCATGGGACTGACCTAGGCCCTCTGCATATGTGTGACAATTGTGTAGCTTGGTCTGTTTGTGGGGCTCTATGCAGCGGTTTCAGGAACCATGCTGGGTTGCCTCTTCTAGCCTTGATGCTGGTGGAGGAGCTTGGTCCTGCCTCAACCTGATTCTATACTTTGTTGACTCCCATGGGAGGCCTGCCCCATTCTTTAAGGAGTTGGAGGAGGAGTGAATAGGGGCATGAGGGGAGGGAGTGTGAGAAGAGGAGGGAGGATAAACTGGTCAGTATATAAAATAAATGAAAAAATTAATAAAAATTAAAGAATGAAATGAAAGGGATTCAAAGTTATAATACTGTGCGAGAGGCACATGGGCAGGTGAGGGACAAACACTCCATGAAGACAGAGCTTACAGTAAGTTTTATTTTGAGAAGGTACCCTAGTCCTAGAGGCAATACACAGTGCCAATGGGGACCACATATAAGAATTATTAACAGTTTCATAGCAATGTTCAACTTTGGGCCATAACAAGAAAAGGAGAAAGTATACAATATATATTCTAATTAATAATAAATAAATGCAGGAAAATAAATCTCAGGCACTAAAACATACAATTATTAAGCAATTTTTTAACAATATAGATGGCAGGATGTTTATATTTCTTTAGGTTTTGTATGTACCAAGTTGTAAACACATTTAGAAATAAAAGGAAATTAATTTCGAACAAAAATGTTGTTAATGGGGTCATAGTAGGGTTGGAGTTGTAGGACTCTGAGTGGAGTTGTAGGACTCTGAGCTAAGCCAATCATTGTATAGCATCATCCTAACTGGTGAGTGTCAAATAGGAGAATGTGGTTCTTTGCCATGGCAGAGTCTTTTTTTTTTCTTTTTGTCAAATAGGAGAATGTGGTTCTTTGCCATGGCAGAGTCTTTTTTTTTTTCTTTTTAATGAAAAGAACTGAGAGTCCAGAAATGTTCATAATTAGCACCCAATGTTGTTTCTCAGATTTTTGTATGTTAACATTATGAACAAACAAATCATAAATAAAAAGCATCTGGAAGTCTGTTGATTCTCTATAGCCATCCATCTCTATGTGTGACCAATGGGTATGGACCCTCTGTTTTGGCAGAAATGGTGATGACATGGGGGCTAAACCTAGATTCTAGAATACAATATTCCTGACCTGAGGTGTCATCATGGAGATGAAGCAATTCCCGAAGAAATTTCTTCTATCACAGTTTGCACAGACGTGTCTGTTGGAATCGTGCATAGTTGCTTTATTCCATAGGGTGTTATAGTAGTCTGTCGTGGATGTTGAGGTTGGGGTGTGAGTTCACGTGGGTCTGTGGAACAAAGACTCTAATACACTTTAAATAATGTACTTAGCCTTTCACAGCTGCAGGGGTCTCTAGCCTCAGTGAACTGAATCGCTTTCCCTATGCCCAGGGCATTTTAGTTTTCTCTGTATTTACACTTTAGCCAGTTGATTACCATATACTCAGAACAACTTGAATGAGGCTCCCAAAAATACAATGACAACTGAAAATCTTGATTCAGAAGATACCACAATTTTCCTTGTTTCCTCAACCAAATAAAGGCATGAGCTGGTACACCCTGTTTGCCCATCTTTCTTGTAGTTAGTAATTGATCATGCAATTTCTCTGATGTGTACTGAGTACTATTGATCTGTCTGCTTGTCTCTCTATGTTTGTTAATAGGCATTTCTTTAACATGTCGATATCCCATTCAAAAGGTGCAGAAATGTCAGAGGTGACCCTCCTATTCAGTTTTCCTCTGAAGTGACCTTGTGATTACTTTAGAACTTCTGTGTCATGGAATAAGTGCAGGAAGCATGAGAAATATATTATAGTGTATTTTCAAAGATGTTTACATTTATACTGTATAACTTTCTTTTTATACATTTACGGTATATTTTAGAATGCAGTGACCTATGACAATGTGCATGTTGACTTCATTCAGGAAGAGTGGGCTTTGCTGGATCCTTCCCAGAAGAATCTCCATAAAGATGTGATAGTGAAGACTACAGGATCCTTACTGCTATAGGTAAGACTATGAATTTTCCTTCACATTTTAAAATAAGAGGGCAACTGTTTCTTGGTTATTGATTTTCTTCTGTAATTACAATTGAAAGTGAGCAAGGATGATATGAATGAATCAGGCATGTTTCTAAGGTTCACTGAACCTTAGAACTTAGAACCTTAGAACTTAAATGTTGCATGACTTCCAATAATATATCAGGCATTTTCTGGTACTATATTTTAGGCTACACAGAAGGTAATTTTAATGTGCAAGCTAATACAAATATGCCTGAGAAGAAATTTTTTTTCAGTTTAAGTAATAAAAATTTTATTTAGAATTTCTGGGATGGTGGTTAAATCTCCCCCCACTCTGGGGGGAGAAGAAATTTTAAGGTGTGTGGAAGTTTTAAAGAAAGCAACAGTGTAATTAAGCACAGCTTAAGGTTCATTGATGATTATTAAATTTCCACAAAACCATATACCAATGCATTTAGTTTCATAGCACTCATATTACATAAGGTATGCACATTGAATAAGTAATAAATACATGTCCAAAACCTTGTAATAATCAAATAGTTCATAGTAAAGCTTGTGTTATTCATATGCTTGTGATTTTGCTAAGTTTAGTGAGAGGAGGGGTAGTTACATTCAAGAGCCAAGGGCGACTGTTGTGGAGAAACCTTATTCTCTACATCATATGTCTGTAAGGAACAGAAAGTTAAATGCTACCAATGCAATGTGGACACCTCTTATTTGTTATTCTTCCTTTATTAGGTATATCATATGTCACTCTCGATACTAGCTATATAAGCATAGGGATATGGAAAGAAGCAACATATCCCTCTCTCTCTCTAAGAACAATTAGAAGATATGTAGCAGCACCCAATTTGAATAGATTTGTTGAATGTGATGCAAATTCACAAGTAATTACTTTTCCAGCTTTCATTGGAAATATCTCAACAAACTCACACTTCATAAAATCCCTATGTGTGCTAGGAATGTATATATACTTCTGTTTGTCCTGTTCGTTTAACAAATGTAGTATGACTCACACTATAGGAAAACTTATGAGTTTTTCTAGTTATCTTCAAATATGTGAAAAATCTCATATAGAAAAAAAGATGCTATAAATGTGAGCCTTTGCAGGTATTTTCAAAGATCCAAAACCACCCTTAGAAGCAGGAGCAACATGAGTGTAAAACAGCGATAAAGCCTTAAGACCTGATTTCTCTTTACAATTAGACCAAATTATAAAATTAATTCATACAGATATATTCAACAGTGTAATGGATGTGTTACAATTTTTAACTGTGTCATTTATGAAAGAAGTCATACTGGAGAGAAACCTTCTGAATATTCTCAAAGTGTTAAAGCCTATGCATATCATGGTCATCCTCAAAGGCCTGAAAGACTCCATACTGGAGGGAAGCCTTATAATTGCAATCAATGTGTGAAAGCAGTTGCATATCATACTCATCTTCTAAGTCAGAAAATAACTGATACTGGAGGGAAACCCTATGAATGTAATCAATGCGTTAAGGCCTATGCATATAAGTCTTCTAATGTATAAAATAACCCATACTGGAGAGAAGCACTATGAATGTAATTAATATGGTAGATTCTTTTCACAGGACTGTAGTCTCCAAACACATAAAAGAACACATACAGGAGAGAAAGAAACCCTATGAATGTAGTCGATGTGGTAAAGCCTTTCATGTCACAGTATTTTTTCAACTAATAAAAGAACACATTGGAGAGAAACTCTATGAAAGTATTGTGGTGTCAAGCCTTTCATGTCACATAATTTAATGCATAAAAGAACATATATTGGAGAGAACCTCTATGAAAGTGATGTGTTAAAGCCTTTGCACATCATTGTAGTCTTTGAAATTCTGAGAAAAAATCATACTGCAGAGCAAATATTAATGTAGTCAGTATGGTAAGGTTTTGTACTTTGTGGTGTTCTTTATACAAGAGTAAAACTTTTAGTGTTCACTCATTCTGTTATAGCCTGTTCATATCACAAATAGTCTTTGAGGACCTGAAAAAAACTCATACAGAAGAAAGTCTGGCTATAAAGGATTTCATAAGATCTTTAGTCAACACATTCTAGTTATATAAGAGTATTCTGGAGAAAATAATTTCACAGTGTCAACTATCTGTTCAAACAGTATAATGCCTGTCTTTATTTTGTTTGCACTTGCAAACTCATATGGACAAAGCCCTACAAATTTAAATGCTAAAGTAACCCTTTTAGGTTTCCTCTTCAATGACATGAAATAACTAATTCAGGTATAAAACTTCATGAATGTTTATTTGTGCCTTTTCCATTGTGATAAAACATAATGTTTATATCAACTCATGAAAGAGTTTGACTCTTGGTTCCAGAGGGATACAGGATCACAGTGAAAGTGGCATGGCAACAGGTGTCAAACATGGCTGCTACATATCATGATGCTTAGATCTCACATTCTCAACCTGCAGGATGAACCAGAGGGTGGAAACGGGAAACAGTGTGCTTATGTAAATTATGAAAGCATACCCCAGGACATATTTCCTCCAGCAGGGCATCATTTCCTAATTCATCCCAAATGATACCACCAACTAAGAAGTATTGATATCTCTGACTCCAAGCTTGTTTTCTGTTATATGAAGCAGTCCATGTACTGGAAAACTATAAGCCTTTATATGCCTCAACATCTGGGTTACAGGAATGAATGCATACAAAAGAAAA